TGATGAAGGCCGAAACGTTATGATAACAACAACATAGATGAGGACAATAGTAAATAGCGTAAATAATTATCTCCCCATCCCAGAAATTCGGACAGAAATTAGGTTTTTCACATACACGTATCATGCGACTTTTAGACCTAATTTCGAAGCTAATTTTAAGGAGGTCGCATCATACATGAGATATAAAATCAGTGTATGTACTGCTGGCCCTGGCTACACTGTTGATCAAACTATATATCCATTTACTGTAGTCAAATTAGCTTCAAAATTAGATCTTCAAAGTTCGCATGATACGCGTGTATATATGGTAAATTTGAAAAATAAAAATAAAACGATCCTAGATCAGTGTTTAAACAAGTTTTTCTCTTCTTGTTCGATACAGAAAAGATGTTTTATTTCAAAATAGTCACTGGTAATAAATAATAAATTCATTGCAGAAAGTGAAAATTTTTGGGTGCAAGAGAACTCTCAAAATCTCATTCTCAGTGTAATCTGCAAGAGAAAAGTTATTTCTGCTTTGTGAGAATCAAAGATAACTTTTCATTACGAATTACTGGAACCTAGCAACTCGGGGAACATCATTCGAGAACTGAATGATAATGCTATGAATTTATATGTCAAAGACAATGTTGGAAACTTTTTTTTTCATCAATTTAATAAACTTATGTCGATGTTATGGTTGTAAATATCTTTCATAATTCCATCGATATTAACTTTCAGTTTTTTACGGTGTCGATAAGAAAATATTTTTGAGATGATTGGATTACTTCAGCTGAGTTCCTCGAAACTCTATAACAATTATACTTTCCATTTTAATTATATTTTTTTTCTTTTAGAAATTTAGTTTCCCTTTGTATACTTTGTTCTCTTTTTATGTTCTATTCATTCTTTCATTCCGTAATTCTCACTCATGGTATTGAAGAAGGACAAAAATAGGAAATTCAGAATACGTAACGAAATATTTTCCTATATAAAGTGGAACAATAAAATGACGTTCGCTAAACTGAGATTTACTCCATGTACTGGTGCTTGCGTGAAACACGTACCTACAGCGCGATTTAAAAGTAACTCTCTATTTTATGGATATTTACTTGACCCCCCACTGAGTCAGGTTGTGACACAAGGTCAGTTTTTGACGTAGGGACCCGAGTGTTTTCACTCGGGCCGCTGATCTAAGCTGGTCAGAGCTTGTCCAAGCTGGTCAGAGCTGGTCTAAGATAGTCATAGCTGGTCCAAACTGCTCAGAGCCGGTCCAAGCTAGTCGTATCCGTGATACCACCAGCACAGAGACAGAGTACTGTGCCAGGTAAGTATACTTATTTTCTAAGCGTAGCTTAGATGTGGCACAAGGCCGAAAGCATGGGGTACCTAGTGAGGATCGAACTCACCTTTCAGTCGTAACTGATCTAGCGAGACAAGTTTGCTAACCATTACCCCATGTCTCTATTTTATATATGATGAACTCTCTCGTCTTGTAGAAATTATACTCAGACGGGAGAGTTCATCATACATAAAATAGGGAGTTACGTTTCAATCACCCTGTATATCAGTCACACATCATGGCATAATCTTAATTTTTTATATAAATATATATATTATATATATATATATATATATATATATATATAATGTGTTGTGTGTGTGTGTGTGTGTGTGTGTGTGTGTGTGTGTGTGTGAAAATATATAGAAAATAGGAAGGAACTGGTAAAGGTAAAATTTATATAACTTGTTTAACAAATAGCCCAATCATCAGATTCATAGTAGGAATAATTAACTACAAACATGCATACTACATAACACACTTCATAATCCATAGCCTAAATTAGTAGTTTAAATACCTTACATATAAGATAACCCTTTATGAAGTCGTCAAAAACAAACGTTACGAAAGTTTTTTTTTTTTTTTTTTTATGCACAATTCCCTTTCATAATAAAATAAAATAAAATAAATAAATAAATCTCCATAGACAATCAAACTAGACGATGGCCAATACATCTTCCGTTTCATTTTTGACACCCCCACCTTCCCTGACTTGACACCTTGAAAGTATCTCTATACCGCTACTCAATATAAACACCCTACACTCGCCTACCCAATTTTGAAAATTCACCATAGCTGTTACCATGGGGATTTTGATTTCAATTTTAAAACAAGTAAATTTCAGATATACGTTATTCCAACAAAAATTTCGCTTGAAGATGGAACGGAGCCCATTTTACTTTCAACTCAATTTAATTTAAAGGATTATATTGAAGTTTTCGGCTCTAGTTTTGAAACATGAGACCTCTTATGTAGCGATTTGGAATCATATTTTTAAATAAATAATTATATATATACATATATATATATATATATATATATATATATATAGGAATTCTATTCTTTTTATATTCTCAATTACTTTTCTCTTTTGCACTGTTCCAAACTTTTTGGTTCACGGCTATTTGCATTTACCGAATATCGTTTTCTTATTGGTAATTTCATGTGGCTGACGAATCGGCTAATAAGAGTATCTTCTTTTGCCTAGCCACTGTAACGAGTGGGTTGGTAATTTAAGCAAACACAACTCGAGGTCTGTCCAAGATGGCCGTATCCCCATCGGTGTCAGTTTTATTCCAAGATCCCTCGCCCAAAATCCTAGCCAGTCCACGCTCGGACCTCTTTAGCTATTCGAAACCTACCAAAAAGCCGAGTCTTTCGATCATAAAATAATTCCGTTTCATATGTAAGAACTGTGAATAACTTTTGAAATCATAAAACTGAAATATTTACCGTGAAAGTATGTTTATATATTATTATATTTTCTACTCCCTATAAGTGTCTTATTCTCATTATTATTAATTTTTTTCAAATGTACCTGCTTCAATTGATCTAAACTCTACTTTGTAATCTTTGAATAATGGGGGAAAATTGTTCACAGTTATTTGCATTTACCGAATATCGCTTTCTATTGGTCATTTCGTCTGGCGGACGAATCATCTGAAGCAGTGACTTTTGTTTACCTGTTTATGTAAGTGTCATAAAAAAACTTCCAGACTGGGGTACTTCGACGTGATGTAATGGTTAACAAGTTTGTCTCGCTAGAACAATTAGGCCCGATTAGTGAGTTTGATCCTCACTAGGAACCTCATATTTTCAGCTTCATCTAAGCTACATTTAGAAAATCACCTTGGGCTCACCTACGGGGTGTAATGGTTAGCAAGTTTATCTCGCGAGACCAATTAAGACTGAATAGTGAGTTCGATCCTTACTGGGTGCCACATACTTTCGGCCTTGTGCCACATCTAAGCTACTCTTGGGAAATTACTAGAAAATCATTTGAGAAGAGTTACTGATTAACTCTTAATGCTTGTCGACCCCTCTGCCTGCAGGTGGAGAGAGACCCCGTCGAGTCCATGCCGAAGGGCAGAGTCTAATCTGGGGATGTAGACAGTAACCCGACCCCATGTATACGGGGCCGATGGGGAATTTTTGACCGAGCTTACAGGGTCGGATCGCCCCACGTAAAAAAAAACAGCCTTCTGACGCATCCCGGGAGGTCTCAGGTAAATGCAGAGGAAACTTCCAGTGTAATATTTTTCAGCTAATAAGTAACATCAGTTTCTTTTCTCGAACTTCTCACTGGTGAAAATCACTTCCGGTTCCATGCTTTCCTGCCAACTTTAATCTTCAAAAAATGGAATACAATGTCAATCGCCATCTACTGTCCTCCTGATTCGTCTCCATTTGTTCTCGTTCCTTAGTAATGTTTCTGTTTCTAATTCTTCCACGCCCAGCATCCCCTTGTGTCTTAGTGGCTTTACAGCTTTGCTTGGAGTAAATTCGATTAAAACAAAAATCCTCTTTTATTTCTTAATCCTTATTTTTCTTAGCCGTTTTGGTTTATATTTTTCTTTCCATCCAACGACCTCGATTTATTAGCTTTCTTAGTTTTTTTTTTTTTACTGTTACTCAGTCTTCTTAAAAATTATTGCTTGCTTTTTCCTTACATTTGAAACATATTTCTCTCTTTCACTTATTTGGGATCGTAGAAGGGGGTCTTTCTTTCTTTCTTTCTTTCTTTCTTTCTTTCTTTCTTTCTTTCCTTCCTCTCTCCACTCAGTTGTTAGCCTTTTCTTTTTTTCTTCTTCTTTGTTACTCTTATATTGTGTCTTAGATCTTTTTTCTTTTTCTTTTTTTGCTTTCGAGCAAACTTCCTTACTGTCTTTCTTTCTTTCTTACGTTCTTTTTTTTTGCTTTCTTTTGCATTCTCACTCATATTTTAATAGTTTCTCACGGCTTCTATAATCTTATCTTTTATTTCTTTTTTTCTTTGCCTACACTTTCTTACTGTCTGTCTCTCTTTCGTTTTCTCACTCGCCTTTTAACTCTTTCTTTTTTAAATCTCCTAAATTTTGTGCTTTTGAGCTGACTATTTTTATCTTTCTTTCTTTTCTTTTATTATGACCTGTCCTTGAAAGAAGTAATAATTTATTGAAAATGTAATTAAAGCAAATAACAATAAATCTGTTTAAAAGCAAATGAAACACAACCAAAAGTAATCGACACTCAGATTTAATTGATCGCAAAAAATAAACACTTCAAGATAATTTTTTTCCGTTTGGTAAACAGAAGTTCGAAATGAATCGTGCTTGTGATTGAACCTCGACACTCCTTGTTCAATTGCCAAACAGATAAATAAGATATTATTTATGGAGAGATACTTGTTAAAACAACATGTTAAAAAAGGAGTGGTAAGTTCCTTTTCTTGAGAAGAAAACAGTGGACAATCGATAAAAATAAATGTCACCGTACTTTCCGAATAGCAAGTATTACTTATATAATCATTTCTTTATATAACGATTTCTTAGCATAAACAACCAGACATTTTACACGTGAAGAACGATCGGAACGTGACGAGATGGAATGAAAGTGTTTTGAAATTAATTTACGATCGAGTCCGATAGAGACTCCATGGAGGTGGGTACAGTAAATTCTATAAATGAGATAAAGGGTGATACTAAAGAAAGAAAACAAAAATGTATAGAAGAAAAAGCAGAAGAAAAGTGAATAAAAGATAGAAAAAAAAATTAAAAGAAACAGAAATGAAAAAGAAATACGTATCAGAAAAAAAAGAGAAAGAAGCATATGCCAAAGTAATAGACGAAAGAAAATAAATTGAAAAGAAATTATAAATCGAAATCGAAGAAAAAGAAAAAGGAAGAAAAATTAATGAAAGAAGGAGAAATAAATAAATAGAAGAAAAAAGAAAGAAGCAAATGTCAAAGCAAAAAAGAAATAAAACAAAGTAGAAAAAGAAAGAAAAGAAAATATGACAAAGAAAGAAAGAAAGAAAGAAAGAAAGAAAGAAAGAAAGAAAGAAAGAAAGAATGAAGCATAAGACAAAGCAAAAAATAAACAAAAGAAAGTAGGAGCTGGATGAAAAGAAAAAGCAAACATATAAAACAAGGAAAGAAAGAAAGACAGTGAGTGAGTGAGAGAGAGAGAAAAAGAAATTAACTGCAAAAACAGGAGATTTGTGAACAAAAGACAAATATCCGAACACCAAAAAAACACACAAACATGAGTATAAATGGAAATAAATTAAAACGGGACTCGATAGATATTACAAAATGTTAAACTGTCTCATGTATTAGGAATGCATTTGCCACAGATGACATTGGTTTGTGTTCTGGTTCAAATAAAAGGCTGGATTACGAATGCTGATTTTCAAAACAGACAGGCGGTATCCACTTAAAAGACTGCCACAACACAATCCTTCTATCTTGATCTCTTCTCATTTGACTTTAAACAATAAGTTTAGTCAATATCTAATTGAACACGGTTGATGTTCTTTCATAACAGAAATACGTACAGTAGAGATCAAACTCATAATAGGCCGAGAGATTACTGAGCTTGCATTGGCGCAACGAAACAACAGAAGGACATTCAAAGTCGACGTCACATTATCAAAGATCTGTGTAACTCTTTTGTTAATCATCGATTTGCAGCAGATGTTCACTAGATAATTAGTAGATTTAACTCAGTCGAACACAAAGACTGAATAAGCATCAACGTCAAGATATCTGCAATGGGCTTCCATAATAGTTCATAAAACATCCCTCTGTCGCAGGTACTCGAAAAGAGAATTAATATAAGCAAAGCACACAAATTAAGGAAAAAAGAAAGGAAGGGAACATAAAAGAAAGAAACAAATATATATAGACCACCTATTTTCCGGCAACGTATGCCTCAGAACCACTTTTAACTTGGATATAATTACGAGCAGAATTTCACACGATTACTAGACTAATTCATCAAGCGGCCACAGGTGGCGTTGTGTGAGACTGGAGATCACTTAATTGTTTTTAAGAGTCGACGGTACTGTAGAGATAGGAGGGATACCTAATTAGTGAGTCGGAATTGCATTAATCGATCATCATTATGTCACTTCTGTTGATCCGGCAAACGGATAATTCGGTATATATCTAGTTTCCGGAATATCGGTGGTATTTATATACTTCGTAACAAACAAAAACGATAGTTAAATCTAGTTTAAAATATTGTTTTTGTGTGTTAATTTAATGAAATTAATAATATCAATGATTTTAAAATATGTTTTTCTTGTTAGTCTCATCAATATTTTAAATAAAATCTCTTCGAACCAACTAAAATGTATAACATTATGCTTGTCTTCAAATCTTGAACACATCCCATAGACAAAACAGAATATCGCTACACTGTCGCTATTGTCATGGCAAATCTTCAGACAAGTAATATTCTTGAGTACCACTCGTTCTGACCTGCACATTTATGATCCACCATGCAAAATACACAGTGTCGAGTCATCCTCATTCATATTCAATTGGTTAGGAGGAAGTTCCATTCAGAGCATTTCTTCTTACTTTGTGGGCCAGACTGAAAGAAAGCTTCATTTGCCTATCGCTACAACTTTAACATTTTCAAGTCTAAGGTCAACCGTTATCGCTTTTACATGGCCTTATAATATGCACTTCCTACTTTCTCCCCTCTTTGAACTTATAGAAACCTAATCCAACCTCTACCATGAGGGACTCTTGGGCCTTGAATTGGGTAAATAATATTATTTTGCTTAAAGTTAAACGACAATATACCAGAAAAAATACGGAGCAAAATAATTATCCATGATATTTGAAACAAATTTTGTAACATGATTCGCGGAATTTAAACAAAAAGGCCAAAATAAAATATTTAAATAAATTCATAAATAAGATGGCGTTTAAAAGAAGCATAAAGGTGAAAAGTCGAGCTGACCCAATTAGAGACGTGATGTCCCCAGACATCTTGACAGACAAAATAATATTGTAAATTGAATTCCGGAAGGATTTTACTTGAAACAAATTTATGACTGGCTTATAAACATACTCTTATAAATAGTGACATTAATCAGTTGACATTTTCTAACATGATATAAACGTGACATTATGGTCTTCATTTTTTGTTTGTTTTTTGGGGTTTTTTTTGTTACAACATTTTTGTTTTCTTTTTTTTGGCTTTTTTGGGAGATTTTGGGGGGGATTTTTTTTTGTTTCTTTTTTTAAATAAAGAAACACATCTATGTCCAAACACGAGCGAGTGCTGACAAAGTCGAGAATAGATATTATTTTCAAAATCTGACGAAATTGCTAAGCGTTCGAACATTTTAAAATCCTTTCTTACTCGGGCTGAGACATTTTTAGTCCCCGACACCGAACACCCCAACAAACACACACACATTTACTTATAGTTGGATCCTCTTATGATTTACTGTCTATATTGCTGCTTAGGTAACGTAATGAGAAAAGAATAGTTTTCCCAAGTAGTCATTCACTCATTGTTGTCTTTGTCAGTACTCGAGACATATCAGTAACTATACAATCTGTCTTGTAATCTTCAAAGAATGTGTCGTTTTGGGTAGGAAAAAGAGAGGAACGAGATAAGTAGTTATGTATCAGTTCCACATCATAATTCTCAATCATATATATATATATATATATATATATATATATATATATATATATATATATATATACTATTAAAACACGTAAATTTCAGAAATAAGTTATTCTAAAAAAAATTTCGATTGAAGATGGAACAGAGCTTACTTAAATTTAATTTAATTCAAATAATTATATTGAAGTTTTCGGCTCTTGTTTTGAAACATGAGACCTCTTATGTCGCGAGTTGGAATCATATTTTTAAATTAATAATTATATTTATGCTCTACTTTTGTATCGAGCACTATTTTTAAAAATAATAACAAAAATACTCAGGAACCTTGGATTATTTACCTAACCAGTTCTTTTCTATTTTTCTATATTTACACACACACACACACACACACACACATATATATATATATATATATATATATATATATATATATATATAAAGGCATCCCCCAATTAATGCGCTAAAATTTTGGTATACCAAAATTCGATTAGTATATACATAATACTCGATTAGTGCGGTAAAACATTCTTCACTTTAATCAAAATTAGTAGCACTAATCGAGTGATTTCTATATAAATATATATATGAGTGTGTGTGTGTGTGTCGACGTACAAGGCGACCATTTAACCTTTAGAAACAATAGATGGTTTTTTTATACGCCAGGTATAAAATCGTAATTTCAATCAATATAATTATATATATATATATATATATATATATATATATATATATATATATATATATCCTTAATATATTAAGGCATCCCCTAATTAATGCGTATTCAATTAGTTCCTTGATATACCAAAATTCGATTAGTGCATATATAATACTCGATTAGTGCGGTAAAAAATTCTTCAGTTTAATCAAAATTAGTAGCTCTAATCGATATATATATGTGTGTGTGTGTGTGTGTGTGTGTGTGTGTGTGTCGACGTACAAGGCCATTAAAATAATAGAGGATTCTTTTATACTCCAGGTATAAAATGTTAATCTCAAATCGTTTGATAAGTTGTTAGAATGGGAAATTTTTGACGGGTAGGCTAACACCTTTGCTTTTTTTTTTCGATGCTGTTGAACGAAAACACAACTGGACGTGTGTGTTTCAACAAAGCCGTTTAAAGATCGCATTTGAGAAGCGTGGAGCGAATGGATGGTTATCAGGGGTCAAGTAATTCAGGCTACCGTAATAGCCTATCAAAAACACAGCACCCACTCAGGAAGTATTACGGATTGTGATAGTTAATTGACAATATCTCCACACCATTTTACTTTTCATTAGAATCTGAGTGTAAAAGAAAGTATATGCTTACTCATTTTATTAAATAAATTCAACAAATTCTAAAATATGATTTGTGGGGTTATCTTGTACGGAGAATATAGCTCGAAACCTACATTATAACTTTAAAATTTGTGGTTGTTTTGTGGTTGTTTTATACGCACATACGGTATATATATATATATATATATATATATATATATATATATATATATATATATATATATATATATATATATATATATATCGGGAATAACAGCAAATTTGTCCAAATCGGGTAAAAGCAAAATTGTCTATTTGTTAGATTTAGCTTTGAAACGTTTTAGTTTAGAAATGATTAAAGATATCTTACTGGAATTCTCCGAGGTTTTTATAACACAACTGTACTCTACTTTGAGTAATAAGAACGTATAATTATTCTCCAACCTTAACAGAAGGATCGTGATGAAATTGATCATAAACGAAAATGATATGCCCATCATTAATTAAGGATCAGAAGCTCATTAAAGTTTGAAATAATCTTCAAATATATATATATTATTCCAGGATAATTTTCCAAATTTTTCAAGATGATCTTCGCGCTCTCTAACCTTCTATCTTCCTGTCCTGGAGTAACAAGATGCTTCAGAGATTTCACTTACGATTTCATTTTCAAGTTTGTTTGCTTTTTTTCAGTGCTCTTTGGACTGTCTTAGCTGAAACTCCTTTCTCACGTACCAAACGTCTTATGGATTGAGTTATATCTTTTCTAATTATAATGTTGATCCCTCTTCCTGTTATAACCACCTGATCCATCTTTACTCTCTCCCGCTTCCTCTTTTTAAACCGTTCTCTTGATGGTTCTTGAATAGACTTTGAAGATAGAAGCCAGATTATGAGTGTTGGTACCATTACTGAAGGCTTGAATAATTTTATTCTTCTCACCATTACTCATTTGAAAAGACAGTGAAGCTGACATAAAACTACATTAACCTGTTCGCTTTCTAGCTAAATATTTCAAAGTGTTTCTCAATAAATCTTTCGACAAATGATATCAAGATGGCTAAACGTCTTATCTGAAAACCTGGTAAAAATAAACACTATTGGGTTAGTAGTATTTAAGATATTAAACATTTTGTGTGATGGACAATTATGATGTTATGCGATTTGAACAATTTTGTACCCATTATATATATATATATATATATATATATATATATATATATATATATATATATATAAAGGTGTGCTATATTTATGACATAACGTGCTCAATATCAGTGATAGAGCGTATGTGATTATAAATATAAAAGTGAACATTGAAGTCAAAACTCAGAGGTGACAGGCTGTTTCATGCTAGATGCAATCGTCAGGCCTCGAGTATTGGATTTTTGATCGACTATTTATATATATGGGTCAGTGGTTCATTGTGGGTAATACATTCTGGAGGTTATTTTTGGCGGGAGTGCGTGTTCATATATATATATATATATATATATATATATATATATATATATATTGTTGGAACAAATGTTCGTAGTGATTTTCGATAGCTGGCTTTTTAACAGGTGATTGAGTTTCACACGTAACTGAAATCTATGAAACACGCCCACATTATTTTCAACTGTTCTTATTATTAACTGTATTGTTTATTTTCAGCTAAACTGATATGTGACTGTTAAAAAAAAGAGTTCAGATTGGACAGAATTTGCCATCGTGGTGTTAACAAGTAACTGAAGAAAAAGGATTTATTCCTTAAGGACATTCATGCAGAT